AGAGCGGATATTGTGAATGCGGGGTCCGGGGAGAGAGCGGATATAGTGAATGCGGGGTCCGGGGGAGCAGATATAGTGAATGCGGGGTCCGGGGAGAGCGGATATAGTGGATATAATAGAAACAAAGAAAAACTTTTTATATTTTTTAATTTTTTTTTTTTTGTTTATAGCGCAAAAAATAAAACCTCCAGTGGCGATTAAATACCACCAAAAGAAAGCTCTATTTTTGTGAAAAAAAATAATAAAAATGTCATATGGGTACAGTGCTGCATGACCGCACAATTGTTATTCAAAGTGCGACAGCGCTGAAAGCTGAAAATTGTCCTGAGCAGGAAGGGGGTAGGAGTTCCCGATCGGCGAGGGGTTAAAAAACAGGTAAAAAAAAAAAAAAAAAACCTGCTCTCAATCCACACATTTATGATGAGTAACAATATTTCAGAGATTCCAAACCCAAAATCTTTTTTCTAATCACTCCGCCCCCTCCTCTGTCCTGCTCGAGCGCAACCTCAAAGAACACCATGTGACAGGCATTAAACAGAAAGCTCGTCAGAAGAGGAATAATCTGACATGTGTATCATTAGATCGATCGTATCGCTTACACGAGTTCCTTCAGGTCTGACAGTACAACGCCTCCATTTCCACAAAGATACCACCAATTAAGAGCTGCAGCCCCTGAGGCCTCGTACGTGACTAATTTGTGTCAGAAATCATATTTTAGCGGATTTGTTCTCAGCGCCGAGCCGTGGAACTGACATGAGCTCACCGCTTCAAACGCTCCTAATCCATTAGTAAATTGCTTTAATGAACCATTAAGTAATTCTTGAAATATTTTTTTTTTTAGATTTCAAATACTTTGGTTTCCTTGAAAGAGGACGTGATTATACCGAACGCAAGTTTCCCATTTCTGCGGTCACTCGACGTACGGCATGACTCGGGGTCCAACTATCAACCGTAAAGAGCCGAGATCTCATACTGCCGAGAAATGTGTTACTGCGAAACGCGTCGGTCCAGAGTGAGAAGTCGCCGCTGACGCGGAGGAGACACTAACGGCGGGTGAAAGGCGGACACCGTTGTCTTTTTATTGGGTGCTGAAAAAACTGCAAAGGGCATTAACTGATCGGCGACTGCTGCCCCTGTCTGCCGATCCCTTCGTTGGCTTCCACTAACGGTTAGTGACTAACCCAACGTATACAATTCAAAATACTAGCCACAGCTTACAAAGCCATCCACGACACTGCCCCGGCTACATCACCAACCTCATCCACAGATACAGCCCAAATCGCCCACTCCGCTCCTCCCAAGATATCTTCCTCTCTAGCTCCCTCATCACCTCCTCCCACGCTCACCTCCAGGACTTCTCCAGAGCCTCTCCCATCCCCAGTATGTCCGCTCAGCCCCCACCCTGTCTGCCTTTAGGCGATTTTTGAAAACTCACAGGGAAGCCTACCCCACCTCCACCTAAGAACTGTACTTGAATCACCTCCACCAGATCATCCCCCGTAGCTATCACGCTTGCCTCCAGGACTTCTCCAGAGCCTCTCCCATCCTCTGGAACTCCCTACCCCAGTATGTCCGGTCAGCCCCCACCCTGTCTACCTTTAGGCGATCTTTGAAAACTCCACTTATTCAGGGAAGCCTACCCCACCTCCACCTAAGAACTGTACTTGAGTCACCTCCGCCAGATCATCTCCCACAGCTATCAAAATTGCAAAGGGTATTAATCGATCAGCGACTGCTGCCCCTCTCTGCCAATCCCTTCGTTGGCTTCCACTAACCCAACATATAAAACTCTAAATACTAGGCACAGCTTACAAAGCCATCCACAACACTGCCCCGGCTACATCACCAACCTCATCCGCAGATATCACCCAAATCGCCCGCTCCGCTCCTCCCATGATTTCTTCCTCTCTAGCTCCCTCATCACCTCCTCCCACGCTCGCCTCCAGGACTTCTCCAGAGTCTCTCCCATTCCCCGGAACTCCCTACCCCAGTATGTCTGGTCAGCCCCCCACACTGCCTGCCTTTAGGCGATCTTTGAAAACTCACTTATTCAGGGAAGCACACCGTAACTCCACCTAAGAACTGTACTTGAATCACCTCCACCAGATCATCCCCCGTAGCTATCACGCTCACCTCCAGGACTTCTCCAGAGCCTCTCCCATCCTCTGGAACTCCCTACCCCAGTATGTCCGGTCAGCCCCCACCCTGTCTGCCTTTAGGCGATCTTTGAAAACTCACCTATTTGGGGAAGCCGACCCCACCTCCACCTCCACCTCCACCTAAGAACTGTACTTGAGTCACCTCTGTCAGATCATCCCCCTCATCTATCAAAATTGCAAAGGGTATTAATCGATCAGCGACTGCTGCCCCTCTCTGCCAATCCCTCCACTGGCTTCCACTAACCCAACGTATGCAATTCAAAATACTAACCACAGCTTACAAAGCCATCCACAACACTGCCCCTAGCTACCTCACCAACCTCATTCGCAGATATCACCCAAATCGCCCACTCCGCTCCTCCCATGATATCTTCCTCTCTAGCTCCCTCATCACCTCCTCCCATGCTCGCCTCCAGGACTTCTCCGGAGCCTCTCCCATTCTCTGGAACTCCCTACCACAGTATGTCCGGTTAGCCCCCACCCTGTCTGCCTTTAGGCGATTTTTGAAAACTCACTTCTTCATGGAAGCCGACCCCCACCTCCACCTAAGAACTGTACTTGAATCCCCTCCACCAGATCATCCCCCGTAGCTATCACGCTCGCCTTCAGGACTTCTCCAGAGCCTCTCCCATCCTCTGGAACTCCCTACCCCAGTATGTCCGGTCTGCCCCCACCCTGTCTGCCTTTAGGCGATCTTTGAAAACTCCACTTACTCAGGGAAGCCTACCCCACCTCCACCTAAGAACTGTACTTGAGTCACCTCCACCAGATCATCTCCCACAGCTATCAAAATTGCAAAGGGCATTAACCGATCAGCGACTGCTGCCCCTCTCTGCCAATCCCTTCACTGGCTTCCACTAACCCAACTATAAAATACTAACCACAGCTTACAAAGCCATCCACAACACTGCCCATAGCTACATCACCAACCTCATCCACAGATATCGCCCAAATCGCCCTCTCTCCGCTCCTCCCATGATATCTTCCTCTCTAGCTCCCTTATCACCTCCTCCCACGCTCGCCTCCAGGACTTCTCTAGAGCCTCTCCCATCCTCTGGAACACCCTACCCCCAGTATGTCCGGTCAGCCCCCACCCTGTCTGCCTTTGAAAACTCACTTATTCAGGGAAGCCTACCCCACCTCCACCTAAGAACTGTACTTGAATCACCTCCACCAGATCAGCCCCCGCAGCTATCACCTTTTGTATCCCCTCCCCCCTTCCTTTAGCCGGGCCCTCCTATTCCTTCTGTACTGAAATGTATTGTAATTGTACTGTCTCCCTTATATTGTACAGCGCTGCGCAAACTGTTGGCGCCATATAAATCCTGTATAATAATAATAATAATGAACGCCCTAAAATTACCCAGGCACCTCCAATCCGATCTGATCTGCTAAAAGCAAATAGAATGAAATGGGATTCATTTCCCTCTGTCTGGACAGATCAGATCAGAGTGCAGTTAGGTCCGTTGACATTTGACTGCCCATAGAGCAGAGCGGGCCGTGTCCAGTTTGACAAAGAGGACCACGCCCACAAATACGTAACCATGTCCATTTATGTCACATATGACGTCATCATGCCTGTCTGTCTGGCCTGCAACACTTCCTTGCTGTCCACAGTGGTTCTCACCCCATGTGATAGACACATGTTCTGCTGCTTCTGTTGGCTCTTCCTGGTGTTTCCTTGGTTAACTTCCTGGTTTCAAGCATGTCACATCCATCTGGAGGGACTTGCTCACCATTGACCACCATTGGAAAGTCTCCACCTGCTCAAGACTTATTGATGTGCTCTTCAAAACCTTGCACATGTGAATGTATAATGAATGCTTTTCTCTCCTTCTTCTCTTCGTTTGTATATGGTTTGTATTTTGTGTGATGCTGGTTTTATTTATTGCAGGTACTTGTATAGCGCCATCAATTTACGCCGCGCTTTACATATATATTGTACATTTCCATCAGTCCCCCGCCCCCGAGGAGCGTACAATCTAAGGTCCCCTAACTCACATTCATACATATTAAGGCCAATTTAGAGAGGAACAAATTACCTACCAGCACGTCTGGTGTGTGGGAGGAAACCAGACTACCTGGAGGAAACCCACGTAGGCGCAGTTTTAGGCACCAGTTAAAGTGTTACTAAACAGTACAATCAGTCCGTAGATGCGGTAAAGAATGCTTGTTATACTCACTGTGAAACCTAAGGGGTTAATCCTCTGCATTGTGAAAAAAGGCTATTTGATCCTGTCTTCTCTAAGCCTCCCCTTCTTCCACTGTCCCCGACTCATCTCCTGATAGAGTAGAGCCTGAGCTGCACATGCTCAGTTTGGTGTGTATTACTAGAGAGTTTTTCTTTTTCTTGGGAGGGTGCATGTGATCAGCACAGGGCCAATCAGCACTGTCCAGACAGAGGGTCAGGGTGTTGCAGTCTCATAGGACAGTGATGAAAACTCCTCCTACAAGCTTTAACCAGTGCTCTGCTGGACACTGATTGAAGTCTCAAGACTGCTATATACTGCTGATAAGAAAAGGTATTTAGCAGTTTATATTTACTAAAAATAATTGCATTTTCATGTTCTGTGTTCTGGTGGGAGACCAGATATAGTGAATGCAGGGTCCGGGGAGAGCGGATATAGTGAATACAGGGTCCGGGGAGACCAGATATAGTGAATGCAGGATCTGGGGAGAGCGGATATAGTGAATGCAGGGTCCGGGGAGAGCGGATGTAGTGAATGCAGGGTCCGGGGAGAGCGGATAGTAGTGAATGCAGGGTCCGGGGAGAGCGGATATAGTGAATGCGGGGTCCGGGGAGAGCGGATGTAGTGAATGCGGGGTCCGGGGAGAGCGGAATGTAGTGAATGCGGGGTCCGGGATATAGAGAGCGGATATAGTGAATGCGGGTCCGGGGAGAGCGGATATAGTGAATGCGGGGTCCGGGGAGAGCGGATATAGTGAATGCGGGGTCCGGGGAGACCAGATATAGTGAATGCAGGGTCCGGGGAGACCGGATATAGTGAATGCGGGGTCCGGGGAGAGCCGGATATAGTGAATGTGGGGTCCGGGGAGAGCGGATATAGTGAATGCGGGGTCCGGGGGAGCGGATATAGTGAATGCGGGGTCCGGGGAGAGCGGATGTAGTGAATGCGGGGTCCGGGGAGAGCGGATGTAGTGAATGCGGGGTCCGGGGAGAGCGGATGTAGTGAATGCGGGGTCCGGGGAGAGCGGATGTAGTGAATGCGGGGGTCCGGGGAGAGCGGATGTAGTGAATGCGGGGTCCGGGGAGAGCGGATATAGTGAATGCGGGGTCCGGGGAGAGCGGATATAGTGAATGCGGGGTCCGGGGAGACCGCGGATATAGTGAATGCGGGGTCCGGGGAGAGTGGATATAGTGAATGCGGGGTCCGGGAGAGCGGATGTAGTGAATGCGGGGTCCAGGGAGAGCGGATATAGCAGTGTAGGGTCCGGGGCTTAGTAACACTTGAATGTAAGAGCTTTAATGTGACTCAATAAATGTGGACACTACACTATAAAAGCGCTTGTTTTATGAGGGTTGGAAGACTCCAGACAAATATGAAAAATAGGAAAGGAATTACATGGAGTTATTTACAACAGATGAGTGTCAGTGGAGTTGTGTTTAGACATTCGGATTATTTCAATGAGCACGGTGTTGTTGCATGACGGACGAGGAAGCACAAACGGACACATTTGTTTTTATTGAAATCTTCACAGACAGATGACAGGTAACATAGGGAGGCCCTACTGGGCTTTAACCTGGTTCCAACACCTTTGTTCCATAACAATGGGCCAGCACACATGATGCTTAGAGAATACGGTTCTGATGAAAGAAAAAAAATCAATGGTGATTGTTAAACTGCAAAGTTGGTAATGAGTTATTTTTGGACCCTTTTCACATGAGCGGTCCAATTAGGTCCACCTGTTTTTCGGACGGACCCGATTGGACCCCCCCCCCCTATGGTGCAGCAGGTATAAACAGACTTGTGTCACCTACCTCCAATCTGATCCAATCAGCAAACAAACGGACAGGGATTTGTTCCCCTCCATCTGGGCAGGTCGGATTGGAGGGTAGGTGGGTGTAAACTGACATCTGGTCTGTTTACATCCGGCTGCCCATAGCGGAGAGCAGGATGCGTCTGTGTCCGCTCTGCATAAGGAGAGCATACAAGGACGTGTCATCCACCCGCTCCTCTCAGCGGGTTATCAGTGGCCAGACAAAGCGGAGTCCACCCGTGTGTTTATGGAGAATGTTTTATTCATGATTCTTTATAATACATTTGTATCCATGGACTTTTCTGTTCTTCATGTGATTTGGTTTATGGCCCTTACCACACGGGGCGAGTCCGCTTTCTCAGTTGGGGGGGTCTGTCAGCTGAGCAGAGTGTAGCAGGAAGATAACAGGTCTGTGTCCGCTCTGCTCTATGGGCAGTTAGATGTAAACGGACCGGCTGTCCGTTTACACCTAACTGCTCTCTGATCTGATCTGCCCAGACAGAGGGTAATGGATCCCGTTTCATTCTTTTTGTTTTTAGCAGGTCAGATCAGAGGTAGGCAGGTGTAAGTGGACGCATGTCTGTTTACACCTGCAGCTCCATAGAGAAGAATGGAGGATCTGATTGGGTCCGACTGAAAAATGGAAAAATGGACAGGTGAACCAGATCAGCTTGTGTGAAAGGGGCCTTAAACTTTGTTCAAAGTATGTTTGTTGTTATGAATGGTGATAGAGAGAGAGAGATATATATAGAATATAGAAAAAGAAAGAGAGAGAGGGGGGGAAAAAGAGAGAAACAGAGAAAGAAAGAGAGAGACAAAAACAGACAGACAGCAAGAGAGGAAAAAAATACAGAGAGAGAGAGAACGAGAGAGAGAGAGAGAAAAAAGAAAGAAGAGAAAGAGAGGGGGGGGAGAAAAAGAGAGAAACATAGAAAGAAAGAGAGATGAAGAAAGGGGGGGAGCAAGGAGAGAAAGAGAGAGAGAGAGAGAGCCAGAAAGAGAGAAAGAGAGAGAGGGGGGAGAGATCTAAAGAAAGAGAGAGTGAAAAAAAAGAGAGAACGAGACGGAGAGGAACGAGAGATAGAATAGAAGAGAGAGAGAGAGGAAGAGAAAAAGAAAGAACGAGAGAGAGAGATGGGAGGAGAGAGAGAGAGGGGGGAGAGGGGGGGTAGAGAGAAACGAGAGGAAAGAGAGGGGGAGAAAGAGAAAAGAGAGATGAAGAAAGACAGCAAGGGAGAAAAAGTCAGAGAAGAGAGGGGGGGAGGGAGAGGGGGGGGGGGGGAGAGAGAGAGAGGAGGGGGAAAGAGAGAGATGAAGAAGAGAGACAGCAAGAGAGAAAGAAAGTCAGAGAGAGAGGAGAGAGATGGGGAGAGAGAGAGGGGGGAGGAGAGAGAGAAAGAGAAAGAAGAGAGATGGGGAAGAAAGACAGCAGAGAGAGAGAAGAGAAGAGGGGGGAGAGAGAGAGAAGGGGGGGGGGGGAACGAGATGGAGAAAAGAGAGAAACGGTGAAAGAAAGAGAGATGAGAAAGACAAGTGAGGGGGGAAAGCGCAGAGAGAGAGGGGTGGGAGAGATAGAGTGAAAGAGAGAAGAGAGAAAGGACGAGAAGAGAAAGAGAGGGGGGGGGACAGAGAGATAACAGAGACAGAAAGAAAGAGAGAGAGAGAATGAGAGAGGCATAGAGGGGGGAGAGAGAGAGAGAGAGAAGAAAGAGAGAAAGAAAGGGAGAGGGAGGAGAGGGAGAGAGAGAGAGAGAGGGAGAGAAAGAAAGACATAATATGATAGACAGATAATGATAATTATTATATACAGGATTTATATGGCGCCAACAGTTGCCGCAGCGCTGTACAATATAAAGGGGGACAGTACAATTACCACAATACAGAAGGAGTAGGAGGGCCTTGCTCATGGAGCTTACAATCTAAAGGAAATATGGATACAATATATAGATATTTTATATAGATAAATAGTAACATTTATTGTATTTGCTATTAAAGGAAGGAGGGATCACAGTGCTACTTCATAATTATACACAATTAACATGACTGCCAGACAATTAGCATTTTCATAAATATTTCTCTCCATAAACCTCTTGTTGACAACCCGGACACTGCAATGCGGACTCTTCTGGCTTCTCTTTGTTCAGAAGTCCTTGTAATATATATATATATATCTTTTTTTTCCAGAGAGTATCCATTAATATAGTGACGGTGTACGTTACGTACAATCTGTGGCTTCGGAAGACCGATCATCCAACAGATCTGGTTCTGTTCGGTAATGAGCCGAGAACAACCAGCTGCTCACCCCTACCGTGTTGGTTTTGTCATCATCCACGAGTCTGGGACTGCCAGCAGACCTCAGGCGAGGAGAGAGCGTATCGGAAGAATGACAAGACTTTGATTTTTGCCATTTTTAGAGGCTTTACCTCAGGCAAACCTCTAAATCCACGGCTGAGACAGATACGGGAAGTGTTTTACCTGTCAGAGATTGTGCATTTCTGTCTGTCCAGTCCTAATGTTTGTACAGCTCATCCAGACAGCAGATCCTGAATGATGCCCTTCATTGTGCTTTACTGCAGTGAGCAAGACTTCTTAGTCAGCTCCCACCCCTAGACTGTGATTGGACTGTGAAAGGAGCAGGAGGACACACGATGAGGTCTCAAGGAGGACTAATCTTTAAAGCAAAACTTCCCTTTGGGTGGAACTCCGCTTTGAATAACCAAGGGGTGGGGCCACTTGGTGACATCACTGGCTGACCCCCCCCCCCTTAGTTATTTAAAGCGGAGTTCCACCCAAAACAGGAAGTTCCGCTCTAAATATTGGTCCCCGGCGCCCCATTAAGGATAGGCACCTTTGGGGAATGGGGGGGGGGGGGGGGCTGGTACCCGAAATTGACAGGTACCCGCTCCCACTTCCGCTGTGATCGCCTAGGTGATCAGAAGTGGAAGTTGTCCTCCTTCCCCCCATCCCCGTAGTCTTCTGGGAAACGTGACAGGTCCCAGAAGACGACGGGGCCATTCAGGAGGCGCAGCGCTGCTCGCGCATGCGCAGTGGGCACCCGGCTGTGAAGCCACAAGCTGGGTGCCCACAATGAAGATGCCGGTGCCTGGAACACCCAAGGGTTTATTTGAAATGTTTATGGAATAAGAGCATCAGGTGAAGCCAACGCGTTTCAGAGAAATGCCTCTCCCTTCCTCAGGGCTGTGTAGGTATTATTAGACACACGGTGACAAGCAATTAAAAGGCCTATAATGGGGATTGACCAGGGGGCCGGTGTCACCCCCGTATAGTTTGCATGCCAATGATCCCCTAAGGCTGGATCGGATCTGCGGATTGGGGAGCACAATGGATCAGACTCTGATCCAGTATGCTTCAATCCACAGATCCGAACCATCCTGCGGGGATCGCCGGCTTGCTTTACAACTTACCTTTTCGTGGAGCGGGTCCGGTGTCACACCGTATAGGTTGCATGCCGACGATCCCCGCAGGGTGGATCGGATCTGCGGATTGGGAGTATGATGGATCGGACTCCGATCCAGTTATGCTCAATCCGCAGATCTGATTCATCCTGCAGGGATCGTCAGCTTACTTTACAACTTACCTTTACGTGGAGTGGGTCTGGTGTCACCCCGTATAGGTTGCATGCCGACGATCCCCGCAGACTGGATCGGATCTGCAGATTGGGGAGCATATTGAATTGGACTCCAATCCAGTATGCTCAATCCACAGATCCGAACCATCCTGCAGGGATCGTCGGCTTGCTTTACAACTTACCTTTTCGTGGAGCGGGTCCGGTGTCACCCAGTGCGGCGCGCACCCCCCGCACCTGCCTAGGGACACCCCTGATCATAAGCCGATGGCCTGGCTTCAGTCAAAGCATGTATTCTGTTGTCAGGAGTAGGAAAAGCAGCCTTGTTCTTGTTCTTGTTCAGCATGTGAACCATTGTGGCGGGGGCCATGCGCAGGCTGTGATGAATGATCTCTGATAAATTAGTTTTTGAGTTCTTCTCCCAGCCAAGAGCACTGAGCTGATTCACTGACTTGCTGAAATCGCAGAACGCAGTCAGAGGTCGTGGGAAGGAAAGTCGAGTTAAAAAGTGACATTTTTACTTCGCTCATCACACACTGCGCCTGCTCATGTCTAAGGAGACTATGACAAGTATAAACGTAACATTCCGTA